GATTTGGTCAACTCCAAACTTTTTAGTCTTGGAATTCATCACTCATTTGCAGCATGGCAGTTACAAACCCTCAGCACTCAAGGTGACCTGGGACACAACCAATGATTTGGTACTTCGTTAATTTTCCTTTAGTTTTCATATATGCTTTACACAAGACATACTTCCCTTTTACAGATGAAAAAGTCTTTTCTATCTATTTTATGTACAGCATACTGCAATACCATAATGCCTCAGATTGGTAATAATGTGGATAACATTTGCAATACAGTTATAATGAAAGTAGTAATAATATGTATGAAAAGTTCTTTTAAAAAAAGATTGATAACAGTACCTGTCAGCTGTTTTGTTTTTTTTTGTTGTTTTTTTTTTTTTTATCACACAATCATTATTTCCCCAACAACCATCCTGACAATGACAAGCAGGGCTGCCTTTACTCATTGGAGGATAGTAAACTCTTTTTTTCTTTGAATAGTAACAAAAAATGGGACAAGACGCTGTTCGGACTTTTCTCTCTGTTCCCATCACATTCATGCACTCACTTTGCTATCGCTCTTTTGTTCACACGTTTTCTCTGTTGGTAGAAAAATACATACATGATATATAAAAAAAAGACAAACGATGACAAACATAGGCGTGAAGTACAAGCTTCATCAAGTGCTTTCTTTTTGACCCCCCCCCAAACCCTCCAGCCCCTTTTCTCTCTCCTGTTTCCATCTCGCTCTGCTGCAGATTCCTCACACTGAGTGCATTCCTGAGCCACTCGGTCTCTTTTGTTCGACACTTTGGGCTCTGACAAAGAAATGGCTCCTCAACTCCTTGCTCCTCTGAGGGGAGGTGGGTGTAAATAAGGACACCATGATTCGTGAAATGAACATTAGAAGTTAGCCATGTTCCCTATCACACCACATCATTTTCTCAGGCTCCAATTCAGCCCTGATGATCCATTCTTTGCTGTCCATGGCACCTTGACAGTACCATTCAGTGGCCATTGAAACTTATTTTCTTCGTCATTCCTCAGTCTTCAGAGCAACACCACTGCACTGCTGTTTCAGATGTGACTATGAATCTCTAGTTTTTCATCAATGACTCCTCGTCTTCTTTCTCTCCCTTGTTTTGGCTTGAACTAAATCGTGGAGAATGTTCAGATTAATGTGATCTGAATGTCTTCAAAAATACACTATCCTATGGCCCATGACTGTGCAGAGAATAGTGTACTTTTACTTCGTTTTACAGATATTTTACACCTTCGCCGTCCGATGATCCCTCAAAGCAGGACTGCTGGTTTAAGATCAGTGTATGACTCATAGCTGACTAATAGTAAACTTAGACCAAAGATACTTATGTGAAATTTAGGTTTAAATTTAATCACCAACTCATTCATAATGATATCAAAGTCAAAACTTGGTAGCAGATTGGACTTTGGAAAGTCTTCATAAAATGGAGGAATGTGGCTCCAGTCTGAAGAAAAAACTACATATATCAGTGTCCTTGACCAGCATTTCTGCTGAGAGATACACAGCTGGAGGACTCAGGAGGCAAATATCTGTGTTCTCACAAGTAATTTAATAGTGTACTCAGCTTTAAAGCTTCTTAACTGGGCGAATTCAATTTGATATCTACCTTTGATTGTATTGCATTACCCGATGAACCCTTTCACAATTTTAGCACTCAAAGCTATAAAAAAGTGAATCTAAACTGATTCCATTAGTGTCTTTACACTTTGAAATTCAGTGACGTGTCAATAACCATAAGAATTTCATCTGGCTAATAGGACATTTTTTCCACCCTATTAGTTTTTTCATGTTTTAAGAAGACTGTAATACTGAATACATTTAAATTACTTGCTCAATGGACCTTTTTACACTGCAGACACAATTAGTAATCCCTCAAGCAGAGCGGGAAGACGCAGCCTATGAGTTCATGTGCTCCACCTGTATGGCTGACGTGGAGACGGTTAGGCAGAGGTCTTTGTGGGTCACTGGCAGGTCTGCCACAGTGACTGGTTTGTACTGAATCTCGCCGGCCGCCACTGTCTTGTACTGGTGCAGGTCAAATGGGCATGGAACCACAGCTTCCGTGGGTTGCTGGGGTGGCGGGTAGCTGCCTGGGGGTCCAGGGTTAGGGTTCTGGTTGGTGTTAGGGTTAGTCTGGCTTTGGAGCTGGCTTGCTCTACCTCCTCTACCTCGACCACGGCCTCGGCCTCTGCCACTTCCGCCGGGTGTGAGGCCCTGGGCCTGCTGCGCAGCTACTGTTGCTGCCACTGTTAATGGGTCGGGGTTGTGCTTCCTCATGTGTTTCATTAGATATGTCTCCTAAAAAAGGGAAGAGAGAAGCACTTTAATGAGTGTTGCCTGACTGATAAAAATTTTGCCAATAAGAAAGACTTTGTCAAATTAATTGGTCAAAATGACTGTTCTGTTCCTGTTCTAATCATCGGTACTTTGTGGAATTCCACGAATGCAAAACACAATCTCAATATTGAATTATTAATATAGCTTTTTTAATTTTGCAGAAGTATGCAGTGTAGACATGGCAATCATTTTTTGGGACAAAACAATACAAGTGCTGTACACTATCAATGCATCATGTTTGGCAAACACTAACCAAAGTCAATGGCATAATTTCCAACTTGAGACCATTATGTTGGAATGCCCGACAAGTCAACAATCTGACATGAGATTTAAGATACTCTGTAAATCAAAACATGCTAGCCAGAAATAAGAAATACAAATCATATCTGATTGAGGAAAATGTATGAATTGATGAGTTAAATACTACCACAGACAGTAATACTCACAATAAGTCATTTACAAACTACAAACAGAATTACACACATTTTTCAGCCCTGTAATTCCTGTAAACTTCACCCTGATGCATCCTCTCTGTCATAATAAGACTTGAGTCTGTCCATTTTATATCTGCTGATTGACAAGTCTGAGAGCCTACCGAGGTATAGGATCGGTTACAGAGGCCACAGGAGAACAGCTTGGCATGTTTGACGGTGTGTGTGGACAGGTGCACCTCCAGGCTGGCAGCATCTGTGTAACCACGGTTACAGTTGTGGCACTTGTACGGCTTATCTTTGTTGTGCTGCCGACGGTGAGACTTTGGGAAAAAAGAGATATATGGAAGGTTAGAGAGAGAAAAAAAGATCTTTACTCCTTTTTTCGTAGCTTATGTGTGAAGTAAAACATACAAAGTTTGGATTCTTGCTTTAGGAGTTTCACCAAACATTCACAGTGGTACTCATGAAAACACTGTCAGGTCAGTAGCAAGTAATACATCTGGGAAATTATTTACCTGTAGGTTGGACAACTGAGTGAAAGCTTTTTCACAACCAGGATGGTTACATTTGTACGGTCTGTCACCGGTGTGAATCCTGAAAGATCAGATACCTTTAGTTAATTACACTCCATAAATTACACTTTGCACATAAATGAAAATGAGTGAAGTGTATTATTGCGACCATTTGGTATGTTCTAAACAGCATTAACAGTTTTAACTCAACCCTTTGCCTTCTCATAATTTAGCTTCTTCAACTTCTTCTTTCACTTCCACTAGAAGCAGATTGTTTTGGTACGTGATTTTCTGAACTATTTTGTGTAATGATTAGGTTTATGGGACCTTTTAGGAAGTACTTGCTTCCTTAAAAAGGTTTTAGGAAAACTTTAATCTGAATTTAGAACATTGTACAATGAAATAAGAAGCTATGGCACACAGCTTTGGAACTGGTAAAGTTATGGCAGTAACAGTCAACCACAGGTATGAAGTCATCAAAAGAAGGAAATACTATAAACTACATTTATAGATTTCAAGCCACTCTGTGTAAGAAGTCTCCATTATGTAACTCTGACTTAAGTCATTAGAAAAGGTGCTCTGACTAAACAGCATGCCTCTCAAAACTGACAGATGCTATCAACTCACTAAAAATCAAAAATAAGCAAGCAATCACATCATCATAATCCTCCACATACCTGCTCCCATACATGCACATATACAAAACACACCTGGTCATTCAGAACCCACCCAGCCCAGCCCCGACCAGTACCGTGTGTGCTGCTGTAGGTGACTGAGCTGCCTGAATGTTTTCTGGCAGTAGGAGCAGGTGTAGGGCTTGGCCCCGGTGTGGATGCGGATGTGCTGGGACAGGTAGCTGGAGTTGGCAAACGACTTGGAGCAGTGGGGACACTTGTGGGGCTTGGCCTCAGTGTGGTTTCTAACACGGGAAACCGGGATTGGAGGGTTGAGGGGTGGAGAGAGAGAAACAGAGAGAGAAACAGCGAGAGATTTTTAAGCTACAGCATGACCAAACTTCACGATGAACCGAAGACCAAATCATGCGCTTATGTTCAAAGGATCTACAATCAATCGTGTTGATCATAGATCATTAGGTTTGACAGTGTGCTCTTTGTGCTGTGTCTGAGTTGTGAAAACACAGAACAAAACATACAGCAAGCACAGTCACGCTTTTCTCTTTCTCTCTCGCTCTCTCTCTCTCAGTCTCTCTCCTTTTGGTGTGCCCTGCTTTGAGTGGGTGTGAGTGTGTCTATGAATATCTGACTCTGCTGCAGTCAAACTGAAATGTAAATTCAAGACGAATGGCAGGCCAGTGGAGCACATCTTCCTCTTTAAAATTAATGGCCTGAAACCCACAAAGAAAACCCAGTGCATGGCAATAAGGGAAATGAAAATATGAAGAAGGTGAATGACAAGGTCAAACATAAAATTAAAACATTTATCTGAATCATGACAACATGAATGGAAAAATGTGTTTTCATGACTTATATCATCACGCATAGTTAAATTTGATAGAAGTGAAGTCATTCTCATTGTCTGATTAGCGGCTTTATCTCTTTTGGAAATACTGTGTAAAACATGCCGATTAACTCAGTGCAGCTAAAAATAGTAAAAACAATAAGGGATGTATTATTTTAAGGAGGTAAATCATCATAAACTAACTGTATGCAAAGTGCACCTAGTCGTGTGGGATTATATTAAGAGACTTACTTTCCAGCTGGTAACATTCTCACTATCTGATAATCATTGTCGTCATGTGTAAACATAATCAGTGATCTGAGGCAAAATTCAACTTTTTTTGCTTGGCATGAATTTCAACTAAAAAGATGATGCTTCAAAATAACACATGACTCCACTAAAAGTAAGAGTATATTTTGGTAGTAACTGGTAAATACCTTCTTTACCAAACACTGGAGTGCACATCCACATAGGCTCTTTGTTCTCTGATAGTATTCCAGTATGTAAGTGATTCAAACAACCATTAAATTTAGCAACGCAGCTGGCTTGCTCTCCTAATAATCAGCTGTTAGAAATCAATCAATTTTAAGAGATAAAAACAATAAATTGAAATTAATTTAGGTTTGGCACAAGTATTGCACCTTCAAAGGTGGTGCTTCAACTGTGCAAAAAGAGCTTTACACTGTCAACATTCTCCCAAAAGACCCGAGCGAATCACCAGTTCACTGCCCCATCCTCCCTTTCTCCATCATCACACAGAGGCCTACGTACGCATGCTTCAACAACAGAAATCACAAGCAAAAGCAAGTGCACACAACACACACACACACACTCAGGACCTCAAAAACCAGTCAGCCCAGTACCGTGTGTGCTGCTGTAGGTGACTGAGCTGCCTGAATGTTTTCTGGCAGTAGGTGCAGGTATAGGGCTTGGCCCCGCTGTGGATGCGAATGTGCTGGGACAGGTAGCTGGAGTTGGCAAACGACTTGGAGCAGTGGGGGCACTTGTGGGGCTTGGCCTCAGTGTGGGACTTGGCGTGGATCTGCATGTCGGACTTGCTGAAGAATGTCACTGCACACATCCGACACCTTGGCAGGTAAGAGGTGAGAGACAGACAGAAGAAAACCTTTACGGCAAACAATGAATTAGAATTAGAATAAAACTTTATTGATCCCTTCGGTACAAGACCTCAGGGAAATTGCTAATAATTAAATTGCTAATAATTAAATTGGGTTACGTGTAGACAGAGAGTTTGAATTGGTAGATGAAATCATTTTGCTTTTCTCTAATCTAAACACCTTTCCATTACCTGTAGGATTTAGGGCCATCCTTGTTGGTATGATCATCCTCGTCATTTGACAGATCATATGGGTCAGCTGCGTGGTGCTGTGAAACAAGGACAACAAATTACTTATGATAAAAATCCAAAGCTGTGATAACTGACACCAGTTACAGTCAAAACAAAAGTCGAAACACTCTACAAGCAAGGAAATAATGAACAGAAGAAGCCCTTACCTGTCCACCAGCAGCAAGGTGTGCCAATATTAATGCATCACTTCCTGGAGGTAGAACTCCGCCCACTCCAGTCACTCTGCCCATCATCTGTTTGCTCTTCCTGCCTCGTTTTGATGGCGTCGGCATGACAACTGCAGGAGGAACAGCAATGTCATCCTTTTTATCTGTAAACACAAGAAGAGTCAAAAGAAAAGGAAAAGAGGGAGAAGGGGTTGTTGAGTGATGAGTGAAGACAGAGACAGTATTTCTTAGAGTATGAAATAATCAGACACGCCTAGCCCCCACACATCCTATGCATGAGCTGTTGTGCACATGTGTGCTCATTTGGACAGCAGCAACACCAAACCCTACATAAGAGATACACTATTGTATGTGTGTTTGCATGTGTATGGAAGTAACAACCCTAAAAATGCAGGAATAATTACAATTTAGGTGGGAAAAAGGAATGAGAATTAAATGATGTGTGTGTGTGTGTGTGTGTGGTTTCTATTACTGCGGACAACCTCAGTTGAAGAAGTGTTGAAAAAATTCAAAATATGGAGAAAACTAATACAAAAAATGACACAAAACTAATAGCAAATTATTTTATCAATCAAAAATAGATGCTGACCAGCCAACAGTGTTTGCAGTAGGCAGCTTTAGCTGTGACTTTTAATATGCAGACTGTGTTGCAATGAATTGCTGAAAAAGCACATTCCCCCAAAAAATGAAAGGTAAAAAATAGCCCTGGTGATACTTATATCAAATATCCAACACACTGGAGAAAACATGATGAAATGACCGAAGTGATGGTGAACTGCACCTGTGCATTACCTGCATTTAAGGGGTGCACTGCAGATACTATCATGGTGGTGGCAGTGGGGTGTCCAGCTACAAATGACTGCGTGGAGGCAGTGGGGACCAGTGTGCCTTGTGGGGTGGTGATCACTAACCCAGCTAAGGGGAAAAGAAAAACGGTGACCTGGCTGTCCACATTTTGGCATGTTAGGCTTTCATTCCAACTAAGAGTAACTTGCAATTAAGGCAATGTCAGAATAATTTTTATTTGTAACACTGCCATTTTTTAAAGCTAGGATAATACCTAGCATAAAGGCCTAAGGTACAGCAATAAAACGATGGACTTCTCATAATGACTAAATTTTTACAAATGGTTTTTGATCTTGTTAATAAAACTGCACAAAAAAATTGTCAAAACTGACACTAAATACAAAGAGACTTTTATGGATACAGCAAAAAACTGTTAAGATCAAGATTAGTAGCAGCTGCAAATGAATATTTATAGTGTTCCTCACTCTCATGCACCCATCTTAAAGTGATAACCACAAATATAGTAAGACACAAGAGAAATGGCAAATTGAGTGAAGGATGTCATGATTCAGACAGGAGAGTGGATGGAGCTGCACACTCACCTGCCGTCATGATACCCGTGGAGGGAACAGGCACGACGGTGACGTTCTGGGAGGTGTGCGACTGGTGCAGGTGTCCCCCGACTGCACTCAAAGGTGCGCCGCCACCACCGCCTCCTGCAGAACCCCCACCTCCTTCTTGCTTGGGGACCACCCGCACCCCAGCCCCTCCATCCACTGAGCCAGGGATGGCGAGCACAGCCGTGGGGTAGTGTGGAGAGGAGGTGGAGGAGGAGTGAGGAAAGGAGGGCGCATTGGCCTTCTCTGGACCCAGCTGCTCCTTTGCCTTGTTCAGGAACATGGCGTTCTCAATCTAGACAGTGGCAAGTGGAGGAAGGAAAGACGGAAGGGTGAAGTAGTAAAAGGGAGAGAAATGTGGGTTGGTGTGGGACAAAAGGTTTCATGGAGGTGGGGTAAAGGTTGGACAGTGAAGCGATGTAGGATCAGACGTAATGAAAACAGAGAAGGAAGGTGAAGGAGAAAATGCATAGGGAGGTAGGCTTGCAAAGATGAGGAAGAAGGTGGAGGAGAAGCAAGAGAAGTGAGGTGAGGAAAACAACCATTTTATGATAAACAAGAAAGCAAGTGAGACAGGTGTATATGGAAGGCAAGGCAGATTGGAAGAAGTTAAAGAAACAGCAAAACAGGAGAGAGAATAACAGGAAGGACAAAAAGAAAGACCAGAGACATTAAGGAAAATGGGAAAGGCAATGAAGGCAGCATGTCATGAAATACAAGGGTTTAAAGAAGAATAAAGAGGACAGAGGGGCAGGAAGAAGATGTCAAAACAATATGGGAAGTCAATAATGGGTTAGATTAATGTAGGGAGAGGACAAAGGAAGAGAAGAAGGCAATGGGAGAGAAGAAAGAACGAGGCATGGTGAGATGCAAAAAGTAAATGAAAAAAGGAACAAAGAGGTTTGAAGAGATGAGAGAGGAGAAGGACAGGAGTGATCATATGAACCCACCAAACCATCCTCAAATAACTTCCATGTGAGGTTAAGTCAGCTTCACCAACTAAGAGAACATTATTGCGTGATGTCATTAACAACATTTTCAGGGTCAAATCACTGTCTGGTATTATGTGATCTTCAAAATATTTCCATAAACAGTCAAAGTGAGAATCGCTTCCGGGTATTTTTTTTTGCCATAGAACATACCACTATACCATGTGTATTTCAAGACAATTCCAACAATAAGTTTGTCTCTACCTGTCCTTGTACAGTGGGGACGGGAGACCAAAAGTATGATGAGTTGAAATGGGAATCGTCCATTATTTCTGTAATTAAAAAGCAACACACTTAGAAAACACCTGTCCTCCTCCTCTTTTTTTTTTTTTTTTTTCTTACTGTCAAGTAAAACTAGACCATGCTTGGCTGCATTTCAGTCATCTTAGTTCGTTTCCTTTCCATGTATCCTCTCCTTCACTGGTGGACACACTGATCATGTCAAGTTTCAGTGTGCAGTATTGAAACGCTGATATTGCTAAATTTTGGTCTACAAAATTCAGTTACTTTTACCCCATTCCATAAGTCAGAAATGGCTGTGGCTGTAAGGAAACTATTTTAGGCTTATGCTGTTAAGGTTGTTGTCAAATGATCAGATTTACAGAGAAGAGGATGTGAAAGGAATCAAGCAAAGATGTTCAGTCCCAGAAGGGATGGATATTAAAAAATCTACAGGAGAACAGAAGAGGCAAGAGCTGAGAAAACACTCCTAATCATCGTCTTTTAGGGTTTTAATGATGTTTTCTAACACAGCCCAAGCATTAGTCTCTTACATCGTATGTGTTGCCATTAACAAACTACACACTCTTCGAGTGGCTGCCTTATTGGCAACAGATCAGTGAGTCTAGTTCTTGAAAACAAAATCTGATGCAGGCACACTGTGTTAAACACAACATAGTTTCTACAAGTGCACATGGTTTATGGAAAACAACACCGAAGACAAATATCTATATTGTCATCATTGAAGCTTTCCTTTCTCAAGCATCTCCCTCTGACACATAGGCAGCGTGTGTTCAGTAGCACAAAGAAGGAAGTTTCATAGTTTCATGGTTCTGCTAGAATGCTTCTGCATCTTTTTTTTTCCTTCTTTTTTTAAAAATATATTTTGCTTCTGTTGTAGATCAATAGTAAAATAACTTTGGAAGATTAGCTTTTTGAATGCATGTAAAGACTGGAAATGCCATGCATAGCCATACTGCTCACATATCAAGAAAACATGCATGTAATTACATGTTAGTAAAGCTGAACTGGCAATAAATTTAAGAGTTATCTGTTAAGCCCTTTGGGATCGTGTGCGAGGCCCATGAAAAACAAAGTTAACTTTACAAACCCTCAAACAATTGAGGTAACGACATATTCCATGCAATATATAACTCGGGGCATGTTTTGCGCTATTTTTCATGAGCCTCCTCTCCCCTCTGCAGTTGCACAGCCTATAAATAAATTATGGGAGAAGCTTCTAAGGCAAATTAATTAATTTCCCACAGGTTGTAGCTATTCCGCAACTCGGCATCAGACACATGGGGCCGTTATTAGTGCACTACAAAGTCACTATTTCAGTGCTCTGAGAGCCATTTTTGACGAGGGGGGCACAAGCTGGCTCCAAAACTGTGGCAATGCTAGCTACGGGCTAACGTTAGCAGTGATTGATGAAATCCTGTAAATACGAATTTGTCAGAAATCGTTAAAATCGGGGAACCTTTTGCAATGCACTCAGCATGTGTTACACTGCACATGACCGGTAGCCAAGACCTTAATGAGATATCTGAGTTATACACAAACATGGCTAACGTTAGCTTGTTAACGCAACAAGACAAGGGGAGCTAGCTAACTTGCCTCCATTAATTTTCTCCTTTTGTTCGCTGGCTTGCTCTAGCTACAAGGAGGCCTGTATATTCATATGCTTAACTAGCTTGCCGCTTGGTAAACACAAACATCCTTGCTCCCTACGCCTCCATTCCTCACTCCCTGCTCATCTCGCTGAGAGAAAATAAAAAAAAGAGAAAAAAAAGTCTCGAATAAAAAAAAAAAAAAAAAAAAAGAGGTGGGGATAAATTGAATGAGAGAGGGCCAAAGTGCTTTGCTTGCACTCTAGCAGCATAAAAAAGTTCTCTTCCAAGTCTTTAACCCAAGCGCCTGAAATATTTAAAAAAAAAAAAAAAAAAAAAAAAAACCGAAGACAGAAAAAAAAACGTCGACGCCGTTGCCTCTGTAGGAGACGCAGCTTCATGCAGACTTCCGGCGGTCGGGACGACGGTGCTCTCAGACACACTGAAAATAACAGTTAATTAACAACCGACTAATAACTCCTGTGTTAATTACCGGTGAACTGGACTCCCCGTCAACCCCCCCGGAGCTTCCTCGGGTCGGGACAGTTGGGAAACTTTGTCCAAATCCGCCCCTCAAACCCCTCAGATGAGCCTTTTTTTTCTTCGTTTTTTTTCCTTTTTTTTTTTTTCAACCCCCAGCTCTTCTCGCGAGAGTGAAGTCAGACAGCGTGAACAGCCAAGACTCCAGCCACACCGTTCAAAATAATACACACACGACCACAGCCACTGCGCTTCAATAAAAAAAAGAAAAGAAAAAAGAAAAAACAAAACAAAAACAAACAATGCCTAGCATAAGGATGTGTTCACCGCACAGGTGGAAATTGCACTACAATTTCAGATGGTCCTGTTATTTTTGTTAGATTAAAAAAAACAAAAAAAAAACATGGACAGAAACATCATAAAATAATTGTAAAATTTTAGAATAATTGTAATAAAAATTTCAATCTCAATCTCATATTTCGAATTTTATTTGCTCAATCTAAATAATTATAATTTTAAATTAAATTTAAATTCATAACTTGAATTTGAATGGCTCAACTTGATTAATTGTTTTTAATTATAACCTCACGACTTTTGGCATCTGTTGGACCCCAGGCCATTTGCTTTAGGTGACAAGCATTGTTTTTTTTTTGTTTGTTTGTTTGTTTTGTTTTGAAGATTTTTTTTAATATAAAAAGAGGGATATTTGTCATGCATTTTGAATCAAACATATGTCAACTTATCAGAAATTTTATTTAACATAGTATAAAAGTCTGTAATGAATACCAACAAACATTTTGCACATATTCTTTCTTGGGGTCCAATGGATCCCAAAAGACCTTCATGCATTGCAACATGAAAGTCCTAAAAAGGGTTAAATTGCTCAACTTCCATAAGTGTAATAAAATTTTAAATTTGTATTGGAGAAATTGAAACTCAATTTCAGTCAGCATAAAAATTGAATGGAATAGGTCTTGTATCTTTTTTCTTCTTCTAATTTTCTATTGTTTTTCTAAAGATTTGTTCTTTTATGTCTTATTGTTATTGCACAGCCTTGAGAACAGTCACTTTGCACTTCAGTGCACTCACTGTGTGAACATGTGACAAATAAAAACCCTTGAATCTTGATCCAGAATTATTGCATTTAAACATAAACAAATAAAGAAACATAAACAAAAATCAGTTCTTTGTTACAAAAAGAATAAATTATTTTAGGTGTCACATTCTAAAACCTAAAAAGCAATCAAACACAGACCATATTATGTTTTTGGCAATCATTTTTTGACGTTTGCTTTAAAATATAAAAACCAAAATCCCATTGCCAAAACCCAAAAAACAGACCATGTTTATTTGGGTCAGGGTTTAGGAATCTGACATCAGACATAGACTTTCTTTTCAAAGAGCAGCTGTTTTTTTAGGTTTAAGAACTAAGAATGAATGATGAGTTCTCCAGTGATACCCAGACTGCAATCTGAATATAAATTTCGAGAACTAATTCTGAATCATTAAAACTGAATGTAGACAGTCGAATTTTCAGTGCAGATCAAAACTACTTTCAGAACATCCATCCATTTTCTATACGCCGCTTAATCCTCATTAGGGTCGCGGGGGGGGGGCTGGAGCCTATCCCAGCCGACTTAGGGCGAAGGCAGGGGACACCCTGGACAGGTCGCCAGTCCATCGCAGGGCCACACTTAGAGACAGACAACCAAGCACACTCACATTCACACCTACGGACAATTTAGAATCACCAATTAACCTCAGCATGTTTTTGGACTGTGTGGGAGGAAGCCGGAGAACCCGGAGAGAACCCACGCTGCACGGGGAGAACATGCAAACTCCACGCAGAAAGATTCCGGTGCCCCCACCGGGACGCGAACCGGCAACCTTCTTGCTGCGAGGCAACAGTGCTAACTTTCAGAACAACTACATTTAATTTTAAAATAATACAGTCAGCCTTAGGTTTATTGGAATTCAATCTTAATCTGACAAATTCAAATTATGAGATTCAATTATTACATGTATTCATGCTGAGCAGTTCAAATTCAATAAATTATTTACATTCAGTTTTTAGTTTTACATTCAGTCAAAAAACATTTATTAAAATAATACATTGACTGTCTATTTATCAGTAGATAATCTTTATATATGCAATCAATTGATTTTACTGTGTTTTGAATTTTGTTCTGTATACATAATGCCATTTTTTTTCTGTTGCTTGATGACTTAATTGTGAATTTAAAAGCCTCTTGCTTCCTGAGCTACCTCCAGTTAACTTGATGCATCTGCCAGCGTCCACATATCCTTCTGCTGCATTAATTATCCCCCTAGTGTGCCGAATTGAACATATCATGACATTTATCTATGGAAATTTAGGTGTGAAATTAGAAATTAATTTCAACATTCACACAGTCCATTTGAAAAGCAATATCTGCAACAGTGTACTATAATTATTATTACCATTTCGCATTCAGTTCATGTCCATCCTATAAAAGAGTAGGTTTACCTGTCACTGAAACACAGCCACTTCTTCTGTTAGCAGAATATCTGTGGTAGATGGTTGCTAGTTCGAAGCCCTCCAGCTACAACTACAAGCAAGTCACTGTTGGGAAAGAAACAGTGCCTCCAACAGAGGCAGCTTCCACAGATGCAACAGATCAGCGTCAGCATTTTTTGACAGATAAATAAAAAGAAAACTTTAAAAAATGTTTCTGGAAAAACTCTGTTTATTAGAACAGTGATGAAAAAATTAAACAAAAACCAGAACAAAACGTAACATGCAAAAATCAGATGTGTAAACAGAATATAATACACAAGCAAAGTAAGACACGGAGCAGATTTAAAATCATTCAGTTCACAGAAACAGTAAAGACATAAGTGGTTCACATTTTGCAATTTAATGACAAGTATACTGTGAACAGGATTGCAGAATAACATTTTCCTGGAACACTAATTTCCTGAAGTGCACAGACAGGAATTAAAATGCAACAAAGAGGTCATTTTGGCAGAACTTCACCACTAAGCTGAAATAACACAGAAAACCCTAATAAACTGCCGACAGCTTTATTACATGTGTAATGAAACACTGGAGCTCCTGTTAGTGGATTAGTAGACTTGTTAATGGTGACTTGTGAAGCAAATACTGCTACACTGATACGGTATCAAATATCAAATATATACTGTATAAATACATCTATATCCATACGTAGTGCCGCTTCAGCATCATTGCACTTCAAACACTTCAGAAACACAAAGTTCACATTTCTATAGTTAACCAACAGGTAATCTATTGTTTTGGTAACTTCACAGAGAAGTTGCGCACTGTGTCCTGACTGAAAACGTATGCATTTGCAATACTATACTACAGTTAAACTGTGACAGGTAGTGACGCATGCATAATATAACAACAGTGTTCAAATGCACCCTCAGAGAGCCGTTACAGTACATTTGGCTGTAATCAGCAGTGCAGAGAAGTCACAATCAGACAAACAGTGATGTGTTCAGGGCTGGAGGTGAAAAAAATGAAACATTCTTGGTTAAATATAGCGCCGTAACAACAGCTCAAATAAAACCAGACATCTATTTAATTCTCTACATATCAAAGAAAAGCAAATATCTAATTATTGTAAGATTATTGAGTGTTTAAGTACCATTTGATGCATTACAGAATGTTTTAAATACCCAGCCCCAGAGGTGATGGTGAGGTAGAGGGTGACAGTGTGATTGGGTTATGATGTAAGGCAAGTTAGGACACTTTATAAGAACTACAGACACCCTTCGGAGCTAACTCCTAAACCTTCGTCAGCATTTCATTCTGGATGACAGATGTATTGAGTTCACAAGAGATTTTCACTTTCTTATAATAGATTGTTTGCTATCTATGTTGAATTAGAAAGAAACAAGGTGAACATAAATAATATTACAGCAAAAGAGATGAAGAGTAGAGTGAAGAAAAGACGGCAACTTCTCGCTTTTTTTCTATTTCTGACCCCTAATCTGGGATTCCTGATCCAGGCTGTCAAATCTTAAACATCCCGTTCCCTGAAGTTAAAGCTGACATCATTCAAGAACATGATAGTTTAGCATCGCTTCCCACATCTCTTCACATTAGGCTTTACTAGTGTGTGTGATACTAACACATAGTTCATCCCATAAATACACTGAGTTATTCCCATGGCTACAATATAAGGCTAAAGCTATACTTTACCATACATTTAAATCTAGTTTCACAAGCTACAGCTTTATGGGAGCTGCTACATAACTGGCCTCAATAACACAAAAGGCACCACTTTACTTAAGGTATACATGTATATATTATTGATCTGCAGGGTGGTAAAGTCTCGAGGAAACCAGAAGATGCAGGTAGGCCTCAATCTGATATATTTTAGAGACCACAATGCTGAAGATTGACAAGAAGAAGGCGAATTTACACACAGCATCAAATTATGAAGAAACTGCTTTTTACACTGCATTAAAAATCTTAACCATGAACTTTGAGGGTAATATTATAGTTCGCGTCATAAGAATTTACGATTTAAGAGCGTTCTATTTAGATTAGTATGTACTAGACGTACAATGCCGATAAATTGAGCAAATTTTCCTGCGTTACCACCACTGTCAGGATCTACGAGAAAGAGCAGTAGCATGTAAAATGACCATCACAGCACTCCGACAATAAAAAAAAAATCTCAGATAGATAACAATCGTGTATGATACAGAGTGCTTGGTAATGATAATGAAGTCAGCAAAGATTGTACTGAAGATGTGTTGGGTTAGTGAACATGCATCACATACAGTCATATTTAAACACAGTTTTTTAATGCATGAACTGGTATGCCTTAAGCAAAGGGTCCTTATGAAACTCTACTCCTAAAATCCTAAAAATCATATATAAAACTGAAAAAGACGACCGATTTAAAAATATATAATACAAACCAATGCCATAGAAATTTACAGACGGCACCACAGTTTTCTAGCTGTTAACTTGTAACCACCAATGACAGTTTTAAAAACGTACGTACTGACAAAACGATTATCCCAAATCCTTCATAGATTAAATACGAATTCAGTCAGAAATAAATTATGAAAAAGAACTGATGGCTAAAACAGCAGGCTGTGGTTCTGGTCTACTATCAGAATATTGAATGTTAGTAGCATTAGTGCATGAAGGTTTTGGATGCATGTTTGTATTACACTTTCATGCTAAGATGCACTTAAGGTTTGGCAGCAAGGCAGTGGACACAGGCAGTTATGGAGGAGACATTAAAGGTAGACAGACAGCGGGAGGAGACTCGGGTAAAACAGGACGAATGAAGTCTCTCTTATTATTGTGACACAAACACAAAATGTGACAAAGACAGAAGAAGGTTGAAAATGACATAAAAACAGGTTAGAAAAAAAATCATCTAAGACACATAGTGACTGCAGTTACATTCGTTGCTTTTGTCTGTAGATATTCAAATCCAGGCAGGCGAGTGTGAATCATGTCACAGGCCCGAAACTGAAAAGACTAAATAAGAAGTATTGTCATTTGAATCCTGCCTTCGCCCGAAGTCGGCTGGGATAGGCTCCAGCCCCCCCGCGACCCTAGTGAGGATTAAGCGGTGTATAGATAATGGATGGATGGATGTCATTTGAATGCTTCATGTTGAATGTGTGAGCATATAGCCAGCATAAATGTAACTGCAGCCACAGTAACACAATGCTTTAGCTCAGATAGAGCTGGGTATCAATAAGCAACAAAAAAACAGACGAAAAGTAAACAGTGCTTTCACAACACAGCAACATCACAAACCAGCTGGGAGAAACTGCTACAACAGCGGACGGGAGCAGAGAAACTAAGCTGTGATAAGAGACTCATGCAGAGAACCCAGGCAGCTGATAAGACAGAAGGAGGGTAGATCTGCCTGGTCACTGGTTTGGTTGATTCTCTTCAGCCGGTACGAGAGTTCACCTACAGAACAGAGGGAGAGAGAGAGAAAGAGAGAGGAGAGAGAGGGGTTTTCATCAAGCTAAATGCCACATTTCTACAGTAATTCTGAAATTAAATGGTGACATATGGTGCCAAAGGGTTTGCTGATGAAACACACTGTTGCATCCTCCACTTGAAATATCACATGACGTGTTTTATCAGACCAGAGTCCAGTGAAGTGCAGTTGAGGAGAACGTGCGCACACGAACGTAAGTGTGATGTACGTATGCAATGACTGAGCTACCTGAGAGATGTTGACCCCGGTCAGTTTCTCCACCGTGTCAGGCAGCCGGGTCATGATGTCCAGAACCTCTCCTGACAGTTTGGCAGCACCAACCTCTCCGCCGCCGCTGGACACCATGGTGATTTTGTGGGCTTCACACAGAGGCTTGCTGATCTCTTCTGCCATCTGGTGGAAGACAAACATTACAAAATGTTAAAACCAAAATCAAACTGTTACTCTACCCTAAGAGACTCAAGCTTGTAACCAATTTAATACAAGTCACCCTTTGAATGTTTTTTTTCACTCCTCTCACATTTTTACTCACTTTACAATATAAAGTTATGTACCTCTATGCCATGACTGGAAGGAGAGAGAACTCAAACCTTTTCTGTGCAGTAGGACAGTTATCATGCCAGGAAACATTACAAAACATGTTAAAAACTTGAACTGAATTTCTTTGACTGTATATTTTTCAATAAATGAAAAAACACATGGTATTACCAATACCTCAAAGACGTGGCCGTACATACTATAGATATATTATTACTTACATTTTTAATTTGTTTCCATACGTTCCCAAACACAGCCTGCAGTTCAGCTGAAAATTCCCTGAATGTTTGTCATTTGACTGTTGGTGACAGCTTAATCACTACTGGCTTCACAGCAGTGCGAAGGAGTACGGGATTTTTTGTTTATTTACAGAATCAGAATCAGAATCCAGAATCAGAATCAGAATCCAGAATCAGAATCCAGAATCCAGAATCAGAATCAGAATCAGAATCAGAATCAGAATCCAGAATCAGAATTATACCTTTTACGGAACATTTTACATGTAGAATAGAATTACAAAGGAATTCTCAAGACATATCATGAGTTTAAGCTTAAATTTGGCCAAGTGTTCACTAAAACAACACATCACAGATTAGTAGTTTAAGGACTTTTTAAAAAAGAAACAATGATTCTTTTTGTTGTACAGTTTGAAGCTATGATAAATTGTGTCACATTTAAGATTCTTTTTTAATGACATGCCTTTCAAACCTGCTGCTGGGTTTGGGGGTTCAGCAAAATGAAGTAAATTCATCCTGACCATAACACTTTTTAATACATATGCTATGCATGACTCAAATCAAAGTTTTTTTTCTAAGTTCATGCTGATTTCTGACATCTTTCACTGGCACTAAGTTGCAATAACTGGGTAAAATGTGTATGTAAAACAACTGAGTATGATGTGACTATGTGTACTAAGAAAACTATCAACACTGACACCTTCCTTCATATTTTTTTCCTACAATTTGTTTGTTTTTTTCATAATGTCAGTGTGGTGATCCGAGTTTTTGTGCTATGATTGTGACACATTGTTTAGTGTCTGTGCCCGTGTTTGTGATGGCTTCTCGTGTTTTTCAGGATGGGCAGGGTTTCCAGACAGGAGAGATTTCGCTCACTCTCTCCCACACCTGAAGCTCATCACCATTTAGTGTTGGATAAAGCCTGCCTACACCTGTGCTCTAGCACCAGTGGATTACTCTCCCATGAGTGGAAAACAGCCTCGCATGATTGCACTGGAGAATTGTGCTTAGAGAGACTTGCTTTGTCTGACTTCTACTTTTGTCTGCGTTCACCACCAGGACCTCCCTGACGGACCTACGGATTCTCCAGCCCAGCCTCTCCAGCTGAGCACCCAGCCACAGCTGTACAGCCTCCCTGTCACGTTCAGAACCACGCCTGGACCCCCCTTCCTCACTCGGCTTCCCTCACGTGCTTCCCGGTGTCACCTGTTCCCTGTAGCCTGAATAAATCCCTCTTTTCCAACCACCACACCCTCTGTTGCTTTTTGGATCCACATCCCACTGAATCTTAACAGTCAGTCTTAATAACTCACTTTAATTTAGTCAAGTGGAAGCCAGGAATGAATCTGTAACCAAAACACAAACTACACACATCTAGTAGAAATGCATAAACAGTAGAATGTAGAAGTGGTTATTATCGATTGTGCAGGATGGCGTCTCTCACCAGAGGCAGTTTCTCCAGCAGCATGTCCACCATGGCGCCGTCCTTGTACTCCTGGAAAGCCTCAGCCTTCTTCGCCATCTGCTCTGCCTCGGCACGACCCTTGGCCTCCACTGCGAACGCTTCAGCCTCACCTTTAACCTGAAGGACGCAAGAGGACGGGCTTACTGTACTGAAAAGTGCCTGCCATGATAGACAGAATCTCAGGAAAGCTTGTGGTCATAAGATCTATATTATCGAAAGTCATGGAAGCGTAATTTCCATTTAAAACATTTTAGCTGAGTTGAGATTCATCCAAAGGGAAGCGTGACTCACTCTTATGGACTCAGCTTCCGCCTCCGCCTCCATGATCAACTTAAGGCTGACAGAAAGAAATGCACAGTCAGAGAGCAGACAGACGTATGGTTCAGACGAGTTACTCACAGGTAGATAGATCCACTTTCACATTGCCATTACATTTCCATCAGACATCTGGCAAGCCTAAAACATCTGGATTGTATCTGGTTTATAGGATTTAATAGGTGCCAAAAGTGTCTAAAGTCAGTTACCATAAAACATGACAATGCAGATTGTATAGTAACTTAAATGAACAATAACAGTGCGCGAGGCAGAAGTAATGTCTGATCTTTACTCTGATATTTTTTAAAATTTTATTTCCCCTCAAAGGAAGAGCTCTGCTGTGTTTAAAGAGCCCATATTATGGTTTTTGTTTTTTTCCCTTTCTTTTATTGTTTCATAGCTTTATGGTGCATTTAAATTACTGCAAACTTAAAAAGTCCAAATTCCATAACAAAGGAAGTTTTTCTCTTTCCAACAGAAAGCAGTGTTTGTTACTTATCTACATCACATGTAAGGCCTCATGAGTGTCAATATGACGTAAGTTCAAGTATAATCAAGGCTTAACACATTTGCATAGCGACGGCTAGCAGCTAATTTAGCACATCCTCAGACAAAAAAATGAGCAGTTTCCTCACAGTCCACATTATTTCCTTTCTAGATATCTGGGGCTACCAACATTCAAGCTTTCAACGGTCCAGCAGACCAATCAGAGCAGAATGGGCTTTTCATGGGGCGGACCTTAATATGAAGCGTTTAAGACAGAAGATGAAGAGAGGTGCTGCAGCAATGCATAATATGAGAACTACGATGTGCTTTTTAAACATTAAAGCATGCAAATCTATTATATAAAACAACAACAAATCAATTATAGCCTCGTAAATGTGCATAATATAGGATCTTTAATAATTCTGCACACGTCACTATGATGCAGTGATACTTTTTTCTTTCTCATTATCTTGTGGGTGTTTAAATGATGCAAAGCAAAAATACACCTGTTCCACCTGCCTTGTTATCCATCTCAGACAGAGCCAAACCAATAATATAAAAGAAAGGTTTAAACCGAGTAATAGAAGCTTGCATACTACACAAACTCCCCTTAATAGCATCAGCTCATCTACAGAGCAACAGGAATTAAGTTCTCCTCTGGGGCTTTAACCTCTGGTACTCGGACTGAAAGACTGCTTGTCTGCTCACGACACCATCCTGCTGTTCAGGAAAGTAGCCGTGAGAATGAAGCTGCAACTCACCGGTGCGCCTCAGCCAGTTTCTCCAAGCGGTAGCGCTCAGCATCGGCAGGTTTCTTCACCTTGGCCTCCAGCTCCTTCTCCCTGCGAGTGATCTCCTGCTCCTGCAGCATGATCTGCTGCGTCCGCTCAACCACCTGGACCTGCATCTTCTCCTCCTCGATGCGCTGCTTCGTCTTTGCTACCTGCGAAGGAAAACACATCATATTTCCTCATTCAGTGTTATAAAATATCAGATCCAGAATGTGTTACTGGTTTCCAACAACCAAAAAAGTGCAATACAAAAAGTATGTCACTGGTTTCTCAACTTCACAACACTTCCTTTGCAGTTATAACTAGATAAGTGCTCCACAAACATCCAGCTAACTGGTTGACAAACAGCATTAGCTGCTTTCATATCCACCCCTGTGTACCTGAAGCTGGTAGGCCATCTCTGACTCAGCCTTCTTCGTGTTCACTTCAATATCATAGGCTGCCTTCTTCAGCTCATAGTCCCTTTGGGCCTTTGCCATGTCAATCTCATTCTTGTACTGAGCCGACACTTTCACCTGCATCGCATGGGCTTCCTGCAGAGACAAACAGAGAGACAATAGGGATCAATAGGAGCCACTTAACAAGGTGAAGAACTAGACAAATTTCACCGATGACAACACAAAACAGATGAAGGAAGAGACAGAGACCTCTACAAACAGCCTTCTGGAAACATGACGAATATAAAGACAATCTCTGTCACGTGCGAGGGGTAATATTTATCTACGTGTCTCTCAAAATAAAGAACTCAACCCTGTCACTGCCTCTGCAAAGACAAACTCCTACATCTCACCCTGATCACAGCGTCTCTCTTGTTCTGTGCTTCTCCGATGCGAGCGTCTTTCTGAACCTGTGCTGTTCGAGCCTTTCCCAGCGAATGCAGATAATCCTGTGCACCAAAAAGCAGATAGAAGATCAGATTCATTTCGGTTCGGTTTTAAAATCTTGGAAACCATCACAATATTTTGAGATCAAAACTAGAAATGTTCCTCCTCTCGAAAAGATATTTCTTGAAGCATCCGGTATGTTGTTTTTTATACGTGACAGCAAAGCGATACCTGGTCGTCATGAACGTCTTTGAGCGTGTAGCTGACCACGCTGATGCCCATGTTGACCAGGTCAGAGGACGCCACCTTGAAGACCTGCTCTGAGAACTTCTTGCGGTCCTTGTAGATCTCCTGTAAGAGGAAGATGTTTACTGTGATGTGGAAGTTGCAGTAGAGCAGTACTCTGCAAGGTGTCGACAGACTGCAGAGATTTTCCTCCAACAATACTTGTCATATAATTATAGAAATCATTACTGTAAAGCATTAAAACATGTTCACATGTACACTTGGCCTCCTATTTGTCTGTTTGTCTAATCAGGATTCAAAGGATTTACTGTCAAGTGCAGCAATAACAAGTTGTCAGTGTAATGAAATTCTTAGTTCTCTGTGTCTCTACCGAGTGCTGCAGTTGACCCGTTGACAGAATACATTCATTCAGACACATTCGTCTCACATCTACCCACACATACAAACACTGCAAAAAGGTTCTGTACATAAAAAAATACATATAAAAAAGGATGTGCAATGTTTATAGTGTGGAAAAAATTAAGATCTGCTCATATGAATGCAGGTAGGTGATGTTAAATATACAAAGTGCGGGAAAAAAAAATGCATGTACAGAAAAAACTATGTTAAAAAAAAGTTTGTGCAATGTCAGGCAGATAATAAAACGATTATAAAACAGCTAAAAATACGCCTCAGTCTTTTTGGAAAACATTTGTTAAATCAATTTTAAAGAAGCTAAATGTTCCTTATGAACTACATCTGACTAAATAAAAAAGGTAGAGATGTTTCAGAAGAGGTGAAATAGCACTTTTACTGATTTGAACTCCTTGGGAATGTGGTGAATCCAACTATGAACCATTTATCTCTTACTTCAACAGTCAGGTGGGCGATGATGGCCCGCTGGTGACCCTCCAGAGTCTCCAAGGCGATCTGAGCGATCTCCGGCTCCGACTTCCCCATGAACATCTGGCAAGCTGCAGCCAGCATCTGTTTATTCTGACCCTGGATCTTCATCTGCACAAAACAGTTCATTGTTAAGCCCACGGTAAGACAAAGACGTGAGCGCTGAGCTGATTCTAGACATCCACCACAAATAAGCAAGCTAAGATGCAAATTAATGGCACTATATATTAAATCCTGTTGTTAAATGAGCCTGAAACTACACAGATAAATCCAAAGTGCGTCAGTAGAAGGTAACTGGACTTCTGTGTTCTTCAGTTCAGAACTAAGAAAGCTTCTTGATTGAGAGAAAAAACATCCTAAAGAACCAAAAAAAGAGAATTCCTGTTGCCTTCTGCTGCAGCATTTAGGATTAACACAACCTGAGAATCTACAAACTTAACTTGAATTGGAATACACAGAACACACACTTCTCAGCAGGCTGACAAACTGACACTCATCCCTGATGCTGAGATTTAGATTTTCTACAACAGGCTGCTTGATTCACGACAGAAAACAGATGCAGCGACATACACATGCCACATTTATCCGTCTATGCTGACACAGTCTTGCTTGGTAAGTGCCAAACACTCGGATGTGTGTGTGTGTGGGAGTAATGGAGGTGCTTCTATGAACGACCAGTCTGAGAAAATACAAACCGTCCAGCTACATCTGCATCACACAGTTTAGCAGTGTTTAATCAGCTGTTGCGAATCTAATAATCTGTCACTTCGCCTCCCGCTCACGACCCTTTGCTGCAGGTCTCTCCCCATTCATCTCCCCCCTTTCCTGTATATCTCTACTGCTATAAATAAAAGACAAAAAAGCCCCCAAAAAACCCACTGACCTGAGCGATCCCAGTGACAGAGATGGGAACTCCGTGGCGGGTGTAGACTTTATCGCTCTTCACATTCAGGGTCAGAGTGTTCAGGGAAATCCTGGAGAAATTCAGGGTACCAAATATAAAAGGAAAGAATGATTATTGATCAATTTTAAACTGCTCTAATGGCACACATTAAAGTGTGGTAACTTCCGCTTTATGTAATACTGGATGCAAGCTCTGAGTGCAGGATTGTACGTACTCTCCTCTCGTTACTCTTCATGCATTTATTCACCGCTGCTGCATTTCATTCCACTAACTCTGCAACTTCTCCTGTCTGTAGTTTGTGTTTTGTTTTCTCTGCAGGTTTCTCTGATTCCGGAGCTCTTCATTGTTATATTATTTCTCTCTCCTCTCACCCAAAACCACTCGAGGCAGACGGCCGCCCACAGTGAGTCTGGTTCTGTTGGAGCTTCCTGCCAAAAGGGAGTTTCTCATTTACACTGTGGCTGTGTTTTTTAAGGTGAAACTGTTGTTTTTTTTTTCTTCATCATGTTGTATAATCTTGACCTTAGGTTGGAAAGGGCCCCGTGATGACACATGTTGTGATATGTGTATATAAATAAAACTGAATGAAACTGGATACATGAATTGGATCGAGGCCAACTACAGCACTCAGGCCATTAAAACATTAAGTGTAGACTGAACGCAGGAGTCCACTGGAAGACCCGAATGTGGCCTGTTTGCAGGCTAAATTCATACATTTGACAGGGAGACAAAAAGAAAAGAGACAAGCAGGTCAGCAGTGATTTGGAGATGCCACGATTTACAGTAAGATAAGATAAGATAAGATAAGATAAGATAAGATAAGATAAGCTAAGATTTGAGTCCTCATTGTGGAAATTCACAAATCTGTGTCCATGAGTCATCCTGATACTAAAATCACAAATTTGTTTTATTGTTAATCATATTCTCATGGTCAACAAATCATGCATTACCCTTTATACCCTGAAGCTGCTTTTACCTTTGCATTCTGGATTTGTATCCTCTGCTGTCTCGACACGGTTTCCATTTGTCGTACATCTGTCAGTTAAACTGTGAACCCCAAGTAATTCTAGGTGTTTTTGTCACATCTATACTTACTGTGGGATAGTTTTTCTTATGCAGGACATAGTACTCTATATAAACAGTAGTAGAGAGAACTCAAACATGTGCATTACGACACCGTTGTAATGCCATAAATCACAATAGAATTTTTTTTTTGCAAAAATATGAAAAAAGTAGAACCATCATGCACAACAGAGTGACTGCAGGCTACTTTGTTAAATTCTACAGGCAGACAAACAGGTAAGCAATGGGTTGCTTCAGCCATGACACCACACATTATATCATGTAGTCACTGTCATCGTTTACTGTAAAGATGTTTTTCAATTCTTAACTGGATCTGTGTTTTCTGCCATCTCATCAAGTTTTCCATTTGTCGTCTGCCAAGTTAAGCAGACACACGCAGCAGCAAACCAAAGAACCAAAGACAACAGCAGATATTGGGGGATAAAGACCCTCTGCGTTTGCGTACCTCTGTATCTGCTGGATGCAGGGGACGACGAACACTCGGCCTCCGGCTATCATCAGCGGAGGAGAACGACAGAAGCCTGACACAGATCAGAGACCAAACAGAGCATCAGAACTGAGTTTACAGCTAAAACATTGCAGCATACAGCTTTCTATACTCCTATTATAAGGACACTTCTACAGATTTCCATCTACAAACAAACTTTTGGAATGTGTTTCACTTCAGAATTACTGATTCAACCACCAGCTTGTTTACTAACAGAGACAGTAAATCCTATTTAGCAACCTGTGCTGACAAAATTGTGACATTTGTGAAAAGTTATCCTCTAGATCACCATGGAAACAGCAGATATCAGGGACACTTTGCATTAACTGTCAACATTACATTCTCTTTTCTTCCCCGTTAGATTATTGTTTTGCAGAGTTGGTGTTTTACCTGAAACCACCATCGCCTCGTTGGGACCACAGGTGTAGAACATGTTTGCTGATCCTCCTTCAGGCTGAAAACCAGAGAAAGTATCAGAACAATAAACAAAAGCAGCCTCGTTAATCTGCTTATTACGGGACTGTTTGGGATGAGATTAGGGCGCAGCGTGGTGAGCACTCAGCGGCTACACCTGCACTAAATATGCTCTTGGTTTATTATTCTCTTCTCATAAATAAGGCCTCCAAACATCAGTAACAGTTCAGACTCAGAGCTGAAGATGAGGGAGGGGTTGGGATGCAGACCAGCAGGGCTAAAATCTAATTTACGCAAACGTTGCGCAGTAAAGTCCACCAGAGAATGACAGAAACCCCGCAAATTACCGCCACTTGTGCGTGAAAACGGCGTGAGAAATCTACAGAACATTACTTTGTGCCACACACTGCTAGCGGCTAGCAGCAATAAGGCGATACATTTGGCAGACGCTGGTGTGAACGGTCCGGACTGAAGGCGGATTCAGGAGCAGGAACATCGCACACTTACCGGTCGGCGTATCAACGACGTGTCTCAGTAACAAGCGGAGTGTTCGGGGTGAATTGTTGTATTTTTATCCCAGCTGACGCTTTATTCCCGTCAGACACCAGCTGATGCGGTCAGGGAATAAACCAGACTGCAGCTCAGTGGCTCCTATTGAGCACACCCATCCTCAGAGCTGCGGCAGGGCGCCACCCAGCGGCGCGGTGCGGAACTGACGCCCTCATAATTAGGTTATGATGGGAGGCAGGTTCAGCGTCTGCAGGATGCAGCGCTGGAGGATGTATTTCCAGATCTGCAGATGCAGGACCTTTTTTTTTTTTTTTTTTTTAGGGCACAAATAGCATTTCGACATCTTGTTTACAGCAAACATTTGTAGCCCAGACACACTGGCAAAAACAGAATAATGTACAGTTTTGGGTGGGGAAAAAAACCCTTTAAAACCATAACTTGTAAGTTAGACGGTATTATTTGTGTGAAATAAACCTTTAAAAACATAAAACATTAATTAGAAAAGGACTGTTTGGGTAAAATAAATCTTTAAATGTAAAAGTACTTAAAGTACTGCTTTTGGTGGAATAATGTAAAGAAACAAAAAAAACCAAAAACGTAGATATTAAGTAGTGTTTTGGGTGGAATAAACCTTCAAAATCATAAGAGGTTCATAAGAAAACTACCATTTTGGTGAAATAGGTGTTTTAAATGTAAAATTGTTTGGACTTAAAGTAGTGTTTTAGGTGGAACAAGTCGTTCATTAGAATCATACTATTTTGGTGGATTGAACCTTTGAATATAAAAATACTTGGACATAAATTAGTGCTTTGATTGGAATAACCCCTTAAAACCATAACTCATTCACTTTAAAAAACACTATTTGTCCAGAATAAACCTTTTAGTGTAACTGTAGTAGGACATAAAGCAATATTTTTGGTGAAATAAACCTTTTAAACCAAAGGTCATTCATTAAAACAAGGTTAATTTCAGTGAAATAAATCTTGAAATGTCAGTGCTTGGGCATAAAGTAGCTTTTTGGAGTGAATAAACCTTTAAACTATGACTTATTCACTAGAAAAGTACTATTGGTGTGGAATAAACCTTGAAATGTAAAACTACTTGGGCATAAAGTTGTGTTTTTTGTGGAAAAAACTTTTAAATGTAAAAAACATAAAACAACTTAGACATAAAGTAATGTTTGTGGGTGGAATAAACTTTAAATAGAACTTTATTGATCCCTTTGATAGGGTACCTCAGGGGAACTTTGTTAAACCTTCAAAATCACAAGACGTTCATCAGAAAACTACCACTTTTGTGAAATAAATGTTTAAATGTAAAATTATTTGGACATAAAGTAATGTTTTGGTTGGAATCAACTTTATAAACTGTCAAGTCATTCATTAGAAAAGTACTTTATCGGTGGAATAAACCTTTTAAAACATTAAGTTGTTCATTAGAAACATAGGGTCGCAGGGGTGAGGATTAAGCGGTGTATAGATAATGGATGGATTAGAAACATACTATTTCGGTGGAATAAACCTTTGAATGTAAAAATACTTGGACATAAATTTGTGCCTTTAAAACCTTTAAAACCATAAGTCATTCACTTTAAAAAAAATACCATTTGTCCAGAATAAATCTTTTAGTGTAAAGGTAATGGGACATTAAATAATGTTTTTGGTAAAATAAACCTTAAAAAATTATAAGCCATTCATTTAAAAAAGTACTATTTGAGTGGAATAAACCTTTTCATTTGAAAAATAGTGTTTTGGTGAAATTTTGGGCCTTAATTAGTTTTTTGGATTGAATAAAACTTTAAAACCATAAGTCATTAACTAGAATAGGTGTGTAATAAACCTTGAAATGTAAAGTACTTAAACACAAAGCAGCCTTTGAGGTGGAATAAACTTTTAAAACCATAGGCCATTCATTAGAAAAATACTATTTGTATAAGTACTTGGACATAAAGTAGTCTTTGGGGTTGAATAAACCTTTAAACCATAAGTCGTTCATCAGGAAAGTACTATTTGGGTGGAATAAACCTTTTTAACCAAAGATAATTCATCTGAAAACTACTATTTTAGTGAAATTACATTCAGATGTAAAAGTATTTAGGCATAGAATAGTGTTTTGGGTAGAATGCACCTTTAAAACAACAAGTTATCGCTTACAAAAGTATGATTTGGGTGGAACAAACCTTTAAATGAAAAAGTACCTGGACATAAAGTAGTGTTTGGGATAAAATAAACTTTTAAACCATAAGTTGTACATATTACCAATCATCCAGTTTGACAGGTGGCGCTGTCGTGACAAGCAAAGTCCCAGATGTGCAGCACTAAACCTGTGGTCCTGAAACTGCAGCCGTCTCTCCTGCAGACACATAATAGTGGGTTCAATATTTTCCTGCTGAGTTTGCCACACTGCTAACCAATACTGGAAAAATGCTGGAGAGACAAGCCCAAAGAAAATGCACATGTCTAAACACATTTAAGAAGCCACAGGTTTAGTGTTGCTGTGAAGGAAAAATTACTTTCCTTGTTTGGAGTTAATCTTTTAGAGAAGATGTTGAACCCTGATTGACCTCTTTAGGTAAATGCAGTGCTCTGTATCTGTTCTATAGATTCTTGACTTCACCTCATTGTAGGAGGACAGGCAGGCACTCCCTGCACCTCTCAAGGCCAGATTACACTCAGGCGTCAACTTATCTTTGTTTCCCTTTCTCCCATAAATCTGGATGTGGCCCCACTGAAGGAGGATATAAGACTAAAGATGTGAGAGGGATCTTCAGAACTGATGCTGGCATTATGTGTGTGAACTGCTGCTCCGTTAGTGTCACTTCTCCTGATTAGTAAACCCTATCTCAACCTAAATCATCTGAGTCTCTGTTGTGTCTCTCATCCTACATCAACCTCTTCAAGAATTTCCACAACAGTCGTGAAGACCAACAGAGCAATGAGAGCCAGGATGTGGAACAGTTCATCATACAGAGATTTTAAAAACACATTTTGATACAGGACAGGAAGGAAAGAGGAGATTTAGGGAATAATATTTTTATATGTGGAGTACTGGAGAATGACTGTGATACCGATGATAAAATCTTCATGTTGTCTCCAGTTACTATTGTTATTATTATTATTGGCATGGGTATTAAGCTAATAATTAAAAACGCATTCTATATTATTTCTTATTTTTATCTTTATTATTGTTAACATTTTATTATCATTTTTCATTTTCCTTTATTTTTATGTTGTATTAGATTCTGAAAAAGAAAAAATAGCATTCTTGTTCTTTTCTTATCCTTTCTTTTCTTTTATTCTATTGTATTGTATTCCATTCCATTATTCTATTCTATTCTATTCCATTCTATTCTATTCTATTCTATTCTATTCTATTCTATTCTATTGTCTTTGGGGTTCCAGCAGGGCAGTGATGACAGAACCCGGCACTCCCTCTCCTCTTCCGGTCCTTGCCTTTGAGACGAGGAAACCCCTTTTAAAAAAAATCTTCCCTTTCAGCCAATCAGCTCCGGAGCCACGGTGGCAGCAGCCAATCAGAATCGAGGACGGCGTGACGGCAGCGTCCCGGTCCTGTGCTGCTCCGCTGCGCAGCCTCCTGCTGTCAGTCTGTTTCAGTCAGCAGGTCCGCCGCAGCGCCTTTTCTCCGCCACTTTCAGCACCAACTATCATCCATCATGAGGGAAATCGTGCACATCCAGGCCGGCCAGTGCGGGAACCAGATTGGAGCAAAGGTAAAAAGAAATAGTGAGAGGAAAAAATAACTTTTTTTAGTCGTTAATTAGTAGTTAAGTCCAGTTTTTGCGAGTTATGTTGAGCGTTTCATTCTTAAAACTTTTTTAAAGAGGCCTTTCTTTTGTTTTATATATCATCAGTTGCAGAAAATATTTGCATCTAATTAAAAATACCAAATAAATATCTTTCTATTTCTTTACCCCGCTGAACTTTTTTTTTCTGTATTACTGAATTAGAAGACACACAGTCCTGTAGCTTTAAGACACAAAGTGGGTCTACTCTGTCTTACTTTCACCAAGTCCTTTTGTTTACAGTGAAAGCTGCCTTTAGATAAAGGACTGTGCATATAAATGGTACTTTATTGCTCCTTATGATACATTTTACAACGCTGACGCACAGATTTATTGTCAAAACTGAGATAAAACATTCAGCTCTCAGGCAGAATAGAAATGGAAATCTGACTTAATCCTGTTGTGGATGGGAATGCTGTTCAGCCAGAACAATAAAACACTGTTGGTTGGTCTTGAGAAAGTACCACAAAGTGCAGGAAGGTGCACACAAATACACTAGTATACCAAAAAACTTTATGCACAAGAATATAGATATTTTACTGCAGTGAGGGATGAAATCAAGCTACAAGTTCTGTGAGTAATACTATTGGGATTGTGTATTTCTGGGAGTCTCTGTTCAACAGCACTCTTTGCATTCTTTCACTGCATATGACACAGTAACAGTTCTCACATTTGGAAGTGTTGACAAAACAGTGACTCAACCCACTGAGCCGTGATTAATGAAGCTGGCCAGACTTGAGTAGACGCGCAGGGCCAGCTGCTGTCCTGTCTGCCTGGTGAGCCCCGGTCTTTGTCACCCAGAAAGGAGCAAGCAAAAGGGGGTTGACAAGAAAAGAAAGGAGAAATTTGCTGAGGCAGAGGAGAGGAACGCAGCAGGAGGAGGGCGACGGGGGGAAAGATAACAAGTGGCTCAGTGTCTGCTCTCAAAGCACAGATGAGGTCATTTAAATGGCTGCTTTTCCCGTCAGTGCATCACATGCAGACGCCCCCAAACCAGCTCTCACCCTGATAATCCCTTTTGCACATGGACAATAATAAGTGTTTTTTTATTTATCAGTATTTTTCCTGCAGCCTTCCTGCACTTGACTTGTGGTGGAAAATAACTGCACTTAGATAGAATTTTGAGGTACTTTACTGGAGTGTTTCCATTTTGTGCCTCTTTATACTTTTACTGTGCTGCTTTTTAGTGCATAAAAATTGGATTGTACTTTTCTGTTTCACTCCATCTATCTGACAGCTTTAGCTTCTTTTCAGGCAAAGATTTCACACAACAAACTTTTAAAATCCAACTCACAGTCAAAGATTAAACCAGTGTTTTCCATTTTCCATGAAACAGTCTGGCTCACATTTAAGTTGTCTATGATTTGTTAACAGCTCCACCAAACCGTAATGTTTCCCTCTAGACTTCTCACATGGTTTCATTTCAGTAAAAGTTGAGATGATCCAACATGTTAGCAAAAAATCAAAGATGGGAGAGAAAGTGAAAACAGATTTGTGTAGAAGAACTTTAGTTTTTTCTTCTTCTTTCCTGTCCCATTAATCATGTTTGGAGGCCTCAGATTTATCTGCTGTTCCTGAATATAAAACTGAATATGACCTGCTGCTGACACACTGATGATTCACTGTTAATCATATATTGATGTCATAAAAACTGAAATGTCAGTCAAAGGGGACAAACCAGCACTTTGACTGCAATACTTTAACTACATTTTGCTGCTAATACCTGTGTACCTTTACTTTAGGATTGTTTTCTTGTCATACCTTTCCTTATGATGGAGTGTATTTAGATTACTTTTACTTGAATAAATCATCTGAAGACTTCTTCCACTACTTTTGGAATGAATCCGTGAAGTCATTCTGGCAAACAATGAATAGATTCAAGCATTTTTAAACTGCTTGTTTCTGCTCCTTAAATGGAAGATTTGATTGTTTTGTCATATGTTAAAATTCAGAGACTTTTCAAATGTTATAGGTTATTCGGTTAATCAAAAAACAATCAGCTGAACAATAAGTTGCGGCCACAATCTATAGTGTAATTCCCAGATATAAAGTAAATGTAAAACATGCTTAATTACTGCAATAAATATTTGTTTGTCAGCTGAACTATATTTTTTTTAAAATCACATTGCATTTATTTTGGCAGATATTGTGAGAGCAAGAATGGTCATTTTCAACTCTGACACACCACAATTCTTTATTTAAAACATTATTTTGTGACACATTTTTATCTTGGATATAAAAAAGGGCAGCTCTTGCAGTTTGAATATTGCAGCAGGACACTGTCATTTCAATAAAATTTTGATTAATTGTGCAGCCGTTGGTTTATATATCGGTACATTTCATACGTTCACCTGCTTGTATCTCAGTCCTAGTGGAGTTTTATTGGTCGACTTCCTGTCTATCTTTAGTCACACATCAAAAATAGACCTTTAACAGACTGTTTTGTAACCAGATAACCCAAGTCTTGTAATATTGAGAGTCAGAAAGGACATGGAGCTTAATTTATTGAAGTTGTATTCATCTCTTTGACCCATTATACAGTCATCCAGCTGAGTTTTACCCTGGGGGGGGGGGCAACAACAGGCGTGGCAGCAGCATATGGGGTGATTCGGCCTCCGCTGCTCAATGGCCCTGATCAGTGAAGACAAGTGTATTTACAGAGGATTTAGTGAGGCTGAGGTCATCCCCATTTCACAGTGGATTAGCTCTGTTTGACTTCGCTCACTTACCCAATCCAACCAAAACCCGCTCGCGTCTCTTGTGCTGCTCGTCTCATAGAGATGGTTGAGATGAAAGCTTACGTGGTTTGATCTGAGGATGCTGAAATGTTGGTTTTGTCCCACATTGTTAGCCAGCTTGCCTTCGAGCAGCGTTCTTATTTAGCAGATTTAGCCGTTCAGGGCTGTTGGGTTTTTGGTCAAAATATTTTCTGCCGAAATGGATTTGCTAAACTCATCAGCTCGTTGCCATGGTGACTACAGGGACAGGAGCCAGAGATGGAGAGGTGACAGTAGTGCAGATTAAAAAAAAAAAAAAGGAGAGATTTTCGTGGCTCTCCCACACACACACACACACATACACACACACACACACACACACACACAGCCTCAGAGACGCGCCAGCCTCCCTCTGCTTATCTGCCCCTCTTTCCTTTAAACACACATCGTCCGCGGTGCAGATTAGGGTCAGCTGACTGAGCTGGTGTGACAGTCTGGGCTCTTGTCTTAACCGAGTTTGGCGTTAATGTCTCAGCACATAGAAACGAGGCCGACTGAATCCTCTGAGAAAGCTCTGACCCTCCGACTGCGAATGGAAGGAGGATTTTCGGTTCTTACAGTATGCAGGGGTGCTGTTGTGACCGAAGTGCGTGATTCACCGAACCAGTCAATAAATGGCCTTTCTCATAAAATCTCCACAGAAGACTTTTAAATCTCAACCCACAGCTGAAATCACAGAGTAATGTTGACGATAACAGCACCCTGGCAGATGAGCAACGTTTGCCCAAAGATATTTTTCTGCCTACACGAAGCAGCAAGTTAAATTTACTGTACATTACAGCTTCCTAAACAGCAGCAACACCATCCAGAGAATGTTGAACTTGACTCTATTCATTTTTCTTGCTTTCTATCAAAGTCATGTGCATTGGCTAAGACACGTGGACCGAACTGACATAATGTTTGTCAATACTTCCATTATTCTGAGGTGTTTATGCTGCAGTTTCTGAGGCTACAAAGGTCTTCTTTATTCTTTATTTTTAGCTTCGTGTAGTCACCGTAGAGCCTTCAGCAATCACTTTTCCATTTAAAGTCCGTCTCTGATTGACAATTTAACCCCTACAAACTCATCTCTGTGCATCAAAGTTACATATTTAGAACTTTTTCTTCCATGTGAACACACACACACTTCTGTACTTCATCTAAATTCAGTATTTTTTAGTTTTAGTTTCAGTATTTTAATTATTTATCAATCAATCCATAAGGTCACTTTAACTGTCGTGCACTTTACATCACAGGCTGCTGCTGTGGACACCAACAATTCACCTGCCAATTTTGTAAATATGACATTTTAGGGATGTGAGTGTGTGTGTGGGCGCGAGAGGGAGAGTGTGTGTGTGACTGCATAAGTGTTGGCGTCATAACTTAATTGCTTTAGTTATTGGATCGGTAGAAACGCTCTCTCTCGTCTTGCCTGCACTGCTGTCGTACGTACAGCAAATTGACAATAAAGCTTGATTTGATTTGATTTAAAACCCTCCCTTCCTGCCTTAATATGTCTCAGATATAACACTGCTTCCTCTAGAATGCATATAATGGCATGCTGCTCAAACCTCTTACTCATGACAGTTCTAGCACACCAGCTCACAGAAATGTTTGTTTTGTGACTGGTAATAGTCTCACTACTAGAAGACTGTACTAAAAATCACCATATGGGCATGTTGACTTGAATAAACTTGACTTGGCAAGAGCTGTATCCCACTTCTAATGTGCACATGTTTGCTGGTTTTCTTCGTCTTCTATTAAAAGACACATTGAATATATTTGGGTTCGGGACAATTAGATGGACTAACAGCTAGATTTGATAATTTTGTATTCTGTATTTTCCCAATTTCCCAACATTTTTATATGAAATCATTGAGCAGTTAATAAAAAAGTAATGAGAAGATTAACTCAAGCTGATGTTTTGGATATAACATTTGTCTCTTCATCATTTTATCCTATTAGATTTGATAATCAGCGTATGAATTGTTGAGTTGTGGCCAAAAACATGTTTTATGAGTTCACAGCGAACATCGAGAACCAACTTCTTATCTGCTCATGACTGAATCGAAGTAAACATTTGTGCCACATTTGTAGAAATACAGAGATTTGGGAGAATGGGACAGACGGAGACTCTAAAACAGTCAATGGTGTGGAGGGATTGTAATTATTTGTAGTCTGAATACATTGGTCGGTAGTTGTCCCTGTTTTTTTTATTATGTCCCTTGCACTTCCTCCTTTTGTTGTCTTGTTCAGATCCTAAACTTTTGGAATTCCTTTGGCTTGTGCTTCTTCCTGCATATTTTCCTCAAGAACGGACAAACTATCTCCATCAAACTTGCATTATATTTTTCATACGTCTACAGGATGGTTAATGTGTTTATTTACTGAAGGATTTACATCACCAGCAGGGTTGTTTGCACTACTTTCAGCTGCCTTGTCCTCCATCTATCAGTCAACAGTCCCATCTAGTTTCAAACAGAAGGAACAAATCTGAGTTGTGACAGGTTGCTAAACGCTTGTACATTTCAGCTCACATGCTTTACAAAACTTGTGATCTGCAGGATGTTTGGACACTTCTCGTGCGGTAATTGCAGTTGGCTGCAAGGTGATTCTTTCCCTGCAGAAAAAAAACAGCAGCTTTAAGGAACATGTTGCTGTTTTTAGGTGATCCTGTGACCGCCACAGGTAGTCACATGTCTGCATGTCCCTGAGCAGCAAAGAGTACAGAAGAGTCAGTTTATCCCCTTGAACTGGCTTGCAGTTATGGCTTTAATAAGCACACAAAGATACCTCTTTGTGAGGCATGTCTCCTGAACTGTGACTGAATAACCCTGCTGAACACACAGCGATGTGTCAGTGAAAGCTGCAAATGGATGGTTCTGCTTTCAGAACCAGCACAGCATCAATCACTTTCACGTGTCAAGCCTTGAATAGACCAGATTTGACCATTTTTTAAACTCTAATAAAATGTTTGTAATGCCAGTTGAAGAGGCAGCCATCGATTGTGTGACAAACCGACACTCCTTTGTGTGTACGGTACGTAGTTTCTCTACTGATGCAGTATTGATCTGTGTGCTGCTTTAGTTCTGGGAGGTGATCAGCGACGAGCACGGCATCGACCCGACAGGAACCTACCACGGAGACAGCGACCTGCAGCTGGACCGGATCAGTGTGTACTACAACGAAGCCACCGGTGAGTTCATCCAGACTCTCCTGTGTTTGGTGAAATGAAACAAGATGCCCCCTTGTGGAGAAACCCACTCACTGCAGCAGCACAGAACAAAAAAAAGCCAAGTACATCAAAACAAGGACCCATCAATTTGATGCCAGTTGGCTTAAAATTATTGCAATGAAGGATGTGATTTGAGCCTGTATTATACATCCTCACTTGTTCACATGATGACAGTCATAATGAGCGCCCTGCTGCCTGAGACAATAGCACTGGAAGACTTTTACAAAAGCTACATTGGTTGTAGTCATTAAGTTCTACTGCTCTACATGCGGTGGAATACACCATCTTGGTGCTTTGATAGCAGCATATGTTACCTTCAGTTGTGGTATTTTATTTCTAGGGCTGCGTTGTCCAAGTCGACATGATCTCATTCCACTCAATTCTTATTGGTTGGACAGTTGCTGATAAAAAGAGCTACATCAACAGCCTTCCAGGATTAATCCATGACAGAACGGACTAAATGTGAACGCCACCACGTTTTCACAACTTTAATCTCTCGGTGTGGTTGCATTTTGTTCAAACGGCAGGTGAAAAAGTCAAGTGTAAACTTTTCAACTAGCTGTTTGTATATTACAGCTCAACAACCAGCATGTCAGATCATCTAAAAACAATAGGCTGACTTGTTTTATTCCTCAGTAGCTCTTGTGCCGGAGTCACCACCTGATCTGGGTCTATTTTCAGAAATCACATGAATGTGTGCAGCCGGTCTGCTCCGAGTCTGTTTTCATCTCAGTATGAAACGAGGTTAAAATGATCTGATATACTGGAAATGCTTTGTGTTTGTAATTCATTTAGGATAATGAATCTATTAGGTGGAGTCTTCTCAATGCACTGTGGCCCATTTAGTTAATCTAATAATAACCTACTAGTTTCTTTTTCTTCGCAACCATTTGATTGGTTACAGAAGTGGTTGACGGCAGCCCTAAAAACTCTGTATAAGATGAATCTGAAACAAGTGAAGCCTAAATGCTACAGATTTATCCAGCAGCTAAAACCAAGATGAATGAAAGTTAGTTGAATGAGCTGAATTGAATGTATTAATGATACTTAACATGCACTGTAGTATTACATGATTGGACATATTACTGCTTATTTTGAATGTTTCACTCCATCTAGTGGCCACATGAGGTTTTACACCTGGACACCAGCTATGAGACTCACAATCTGAGTTTTTCACTCTGTTTAACTGAAGAACATGTGGGCCACTTATTTTTAGTATTCTTTAAATAATTCCAACAGAAACTAAACTAAGACTTGTCTGATGAAGACAGAAATGTTCTTCTGAAACCCAGTAGTTACTAAATGAACATGGACCACACAGCTTACATTGATCTAACCTGCCTAAAATGTTTATTATCAAGCTCATCTGTTCATTTACATTTTCTGTTTTGTTTCCTTTTGTCAAATCTCTACTAGAGTTACAGTTATGTGCATTGTTAATGAGTGTGTCTCTGTGTGTGCAGGTGGGAAGTATGTACCCAGAGCCATTCTGGTCGACCTGGAACCAGGCACCATGGACTCCGTCCGCTCCGGACCCTTCGGCCAAATCTTCCGACCAGACAACTTTGTGTTTGGTAAGAACGTGTTGCTCAACATTTTGTGGTTTAACATTTTGTGGTTTAATATGTTTCCCATTGAAGCTTGCATTCCTTTGATCACTTGGGGTTGGGCTCCAGTTGAAAGATGATCTCTGGGTGTCCCTGTTGCTCTATTTTGTGATTTTTAGTCCATTCCACAAATTTAGCTCAACTGACTGTCCTATATATCACAGACCAGCTGAATCCTGACATAACATCCCAGTGTGAAGCCACACGTGTCCTCAGCTCTCTGACTGACTGTGACCATAGTGATGACCTTTTTTAAAACAATTCTTTGATTTTGACAATAATCATCAGAGTAAGAACACGTTGTAAAGCTTCTTCAGGTTTTAATATTAACAAACTCCAAGAAACAAGCTTGAACAATTTAATTTTCTTTCCAGGTCTGGTCTCATTTAAACCATTTCTTGTCTTGATCTTGTTTTCATCTCTCAGGCCAAAGTGGAGCAGGAAACAACTGGGCCAAAGGCCACTACACAGAGGGGGCAGAGCTGGTGGATTCAGTCCTGGATGTGGTGAGGAAGGAGGCCGAGAGCTGTGAGTGCCTGCAGGGTTTCCAGCTCACACACTCCCTGGGAGGAGGCACCGGCTCCGGCATGGGAACCCTGCTCATCAGCAAGATCAGGGAGGAGTACCCCGACCGCATCATGAACACCTTCAGTGTGGTGCCATCGCCTAAGGTGAAACATTGTCCCATAGTGTGCAGTGAGATGTGATTTATTCATAAATGTTTTGCGATCAGAAAGTTCTGAAGCTGTTGTGCCACATGTGTGAGCTGTAAGCATCCAGAGTCAGGAGGTGACACGACAACATGCTGTCAACAGCGTTTCAGTGACGGCTGGTTTGTGATTTCTCCATGGAGCTAAAAGTGGAACTTCACATTCTGTGTCAGTGAGCAGCTGGATGGTCCAACTCTCATGTGGAGGATCATCAGTGTTGAACAGAGGAGAGTCTGCAGCTAACGTTCAGAGAAGAAACAACAGTTTTCACAGTGGAAGAGCCTCCAGGAGCAGAAAGGGGTCATCGGGTCAGGAGCACCAGGGGCATGCTAGGGTTTTTTCTAACATTCACATGGGTTTGTGCCTTGAATTCATCCCCCAGAGTTAGACAGAGCTTCTACCGTAACATCCTGAGGTGTCTGAGCGGGAATATTTGATGCAAATGATAGATGCTCCCGTTCATAGTAGAGTGACTGCATCCAGATTTTTTTGGCTGCAACAACACAATCGTCGCTTTCCAACCACCCCACTCGGTAGATTTGTTTCTCTGCGACTTCCTCCTTGTCCACAAACTTAAAATCATGTCGAAGAATCCCTGTTTTGACACTGTTTTGGAGATTAAGTGCTGATTGCAGCTGGTGCTTGACATGTTTACACATACATTGTGGGATCAGTGTATCGCTGCCCAAGGAGGCTCTTTAAACAGTGATGGCGGCCATATTTAAACCACTTATGGGTTTGTTCCATCGCAAATCATCCTTCTGCTCCACCAGCTCTGATTTGTTTGAAATGATTTTATTATAAACTATGGATATATAAAATGATATCTGTAAAATGTTAGATTGATATATAAAGTACCTTCAGCACATTATTTTGCACATTGAAATTTGAGGCTGTTTCAATGACAATATCTGAGGAACTATTAAAGATAAAAGCCTAAAATCTTGACAGTTTTTTTTAATACGATGCCATCGATTCAGAATAATGCAATATTGTACATATAGATCAAATTTCCGTGAGGCTAATACATTCCTAATATCTTCATAAATTTTCAAATTTCAGGCAAATCAGGGCTGGTTGAGCAGAAATAGTTATAAATAGATTTAAGATTGAATGACCCTTATAGGTATTTATAGGCACGGTCTCCGAGCTTTTTGATCGCACCTCGTTTCATTGCATATCAGATACATTGTCTTTCCCATTTCTCTGCCTATGCTTATTTTTTATGTGTCCTTCCTGTTAATTTGTCATCACATAAATTATGTATAAATACGATTTTTTTATTGCTGCTTTTATGGAGACATGATGTAACGTAGCAGCAATTTTTACATCCTGTTTGGTTGACCGCTGTGGAAAAAATGGTGCCGTTATCCATTATCCTGTCAGTTCTTGCTGTAAATATTGATTTTCATATAAAAACATCCGGCAGCTTGACTTCAAGTAATTAGTTTTGTTGACCTGTGATGCTGATTGAGGTGAATTCCAACAAGAGCGCAGATACATAAAGAATGTCATGCAGCAGTGTTCTTGGTTTATAAGGAGGCTAGAATAGAAGTGGGAGGCTAGAAAACACTTTCAGGTGCAAAGACAACCCAGACTACGAGCAGAGTAACCTGCAGGACAATAAACTACTGATGTATTGATGTTCTTCGTTGTGTCTTCAGGTATCGGACACGGTCGTGGAGCCGTATAACGCCACGCTGTCCGTCCACCAGCTGGTAGAAAACACAGACGAGACCTACTGCATTGACAACGAAGCCCTTTACGACATTTGCTTCCGCACTCTGAAGCTCACGACGCCCACCTACGGAGACCTCAACCACCTGGTCTCGGCCACCATGAGCGGCGTGACCACCTGTCTGCGCTTCCCCGGCCAACTTAACGCCGACCTGAGGAAGCTGGCCGTCAACATGGTGCCCTTCCCTCGTCTGCACTTCTTCATGCCTGGCTTCGCCCCTCTGACCAGCCGGGGCAGCCAGCAGTATCGCGCCCTGACCGTGCCCGAGCTCACCCAGCAGGTGTTCGACGCCAAAAACATGATGGCGGCCTGCGACCCACGCCACGGACGCTACCTGACGGTGGCCGCCGTGTTCCGAGGCCGCATGTCCATGAAGGAGGTGGACGAGCAGATGCTGAACGTCCAGAACAAGAACAGCAGCTACTTCGTGGAGTGGATCCCCAACAACGTGAAGACGGCCGTGTGCGACATCCCGCCGCGCGGCCTCAAGATGGCCGTCACCTTCATCGGCAACAGCACGGCCATCCAGGAGCTGTTCAAGCGCATCTCTGAGCAGTTCACCGCCATGTTCCGCCGCAAGGCCTTCCTCCACTGGTACACCGGCGAGGGCATGGACGAGATGGAGTTCACCGAGGCGGAGAGCAACATGAACGACCTGGTGTCCGAGTACCAGCAGTACCAGGACGCCACGGCCGAGGAGGAGGGCGAGTTCGAGGAGGAGGTGGAGGAGGACGCCTAAAAGAAGCGTCGAAATGTGATGTAACAGAAATCAGAAATAACCAAAAATCAAAAAAAAAAATCGAAAAAAGAATAATGTGATATGAAATGTAGCAGAACAGATGAGGAGGGCTGATCAGAGGAGAACGGAGGTCCGAGTTGGTTAACGGGAGGACAGAAATTACAGCAAGAATGAAATGTGAATGTAGGCGGGGAAAGAAAGTGAGAACCACATGACCAAATTGATGTGCCATGGTTTACAGTTTCATGTGACGCCATGAAGGCCGATTAAGACGCCAAGACCTTGTGTTGTAACTCCAGTGTCATCACGTACATTTGTTTTTACACTTTCCTGGAAAGTAAAAAACAAAAACACAAAAAAGCTTAAATACCCCACCTCAGAAGCAGTATTTTAATTTGTGCTTTTACATTCCTAATCTGGATTTTTCTTTTCCGCGGTTAGAGCATTTGAAGGATAACTTCAAGGGGCAGTTTAGTATGTTTTTTTCACAGTTGCTAATCCCTTGAAAGGACCAGAACCAACAGATCCTGTGAGCTGCTATTGTGTGTGAATCCACCGTCGTCCAAAAAAAAAGTATTAAAAGCAAACACTGAGCTGCTGCACAGTTGCACCGTGTGACCCGTTTAATCAGGATCAAGTCATTGTTGGTCTTTTCTCCGGATTTGTTGACTGTAAGAAGGAAAAACTACAAAACCTTGCTGTGAAAGATTTCCAAGACTTTCAAGTGTGAAAAAGCCCAGCAGCTGTGAAACCTGTAATCTGAAAGTGAGCTTCACAAATCTGAAATGATGCCGTTATCAGTGTTAATTGCTTTTATCAGTGTTCATTACCTTTTTTTTTTGTCAGCTTTCCCAGTGATCAATGTGAATTATGGTCGTAGATGAGACATTATCAGTGTTTTTTCTTGTGAGGCAGGTTTGCTAAAGTACTTTAATCACCACGTTTTCAACCTTTGGAAGGCTGCAGGTGAGATAAGCGTGATTCAGTTTGTAGAGTCGTGTGATTCCAGACATGAGTGTTTTTACTGGTCGGCATCTTTCCAATCTTGTATTTTTTTAAAATATTCTAGATTGTTAGCTTTTAAAAATACTTGTTAAAGACATAAAATAGAATGCAATATTTTCTTTTTTTTGTTAGCAGAGCCTGCAGCGTGAACGACATCCCAGTAACTACAGATTCTTCAGAGTACTCAAAATAGAGGTAAAAGCTGTTTTATTGAATTCCTGAGAAGATGCATTAAAGCAGCAGCAGCAGCATTAGCAGGATCTTTCTCAGACGCCAGCCAACGTCGTGAGGAGGATCACAGCCTGCAGATGCTCTGAACTCAGGTCAGGTCGTGGAGATCACATTAGTCGTGATCTAATCTGTTTTCCATTCCCAGTATCTGAGGCTGAAACAAGCCCGAGCTCCTCCTGAAGCATCGTAACACAGCTGCTGTGTTTAAAGACGGAAGCCGAAAGCAGCAATAATTCAGGCTAAAATCTTGATTTTTTTTTTTTCTTTGTAAATTTCTGGGCAAGGTAGTTTTGAAATCTACTCTAAGCATAAAGATTAAAGCAATAATATTCACCTGCATCTGTTTTTCATTCAGGAATCTTTTCCTTTATGGCACCACACTGAGGGTTTCCAGCACTTTTTCTGCATCAGAACTTTTCTTTTCAGTTCAGCAGCTCAGTTATTATGACTTATTGGAACATTCCTAAAATGTCATTCCCAGCTGCTTGGACTTCTGAAGGACACATTTTGTATTTAATCCTGTGTCGTAGTCGTGATACGTTTAACACTCTGGTAAATGTTTGCACTCTGAGCCTCGACCGTATGCATTCAGATCAGACAGAAGTTGTGTTCGTGTGCTTTATTGTGTCTTTGTACCTTTTTTTAAATTCCTTTGAAACAATTCATTTGGGATCCTGTTGACTGTGAAACATTTGAGAGAAATAAAAAGGCATTTGTAGGAAATAACTGCAGCTGTACAGTCACTTATTATTGATGATCGGCTTCTCCTGTGATCGGAAACGGTTTTCATTAAGAGCTTCCAGGAAGTCGGAACGCTTCTTACGAGAACAACAAACGGAGAAGAGTTGCATCAGACGTCTGAAAAATGGTAAATGTTTCTTGCAACTCTGGTTTATTTTCAATTTACAGTTAATCTATCGTTTAATCTATAAAATATGATGAAATGGTAAAAATAAAATCCCAAGTTTCCAGTAGATATATTCAGGTCATAATGACAGAAATTAGAAAAATATTGGATGGTTTATGATAAATTGATGGATTAAATGTTTGCCTTATCTTCTAAGCCGTTCAATAATATTCAGTTAATTGATTAATCTAATTGACATCATTTCTTCTTGCAGGAACTCGTGCAGCTGACTTTGATGTGCCGTTTATATGCTGCATCTTCAGGTTTTTTTTTGTCTTCCATATCCTGATATATAATCAAACACAGACACACTGTGGAACACTGACATAATAACTATACAGTGGAGTGCTGTGCAGAAGTTTTATCAAATGAAGAAAAGGTGTTGTTTAACAGTTATCTTACTACAAAATGTAAGAAACAAAAAACAACACAGTAATAGTTGCTGCCAGCTTTGCTTCCTACACTCAAAAATAGAAGTGCAGGAACCAAAAATGGTTCTTAAGATGGTGAAATAATGAAATACCAGAATCTTTTAGCAAGATGTTTTTATTATTATTATTTTTAAAGAATCTTTAAAGGAAAAAGAAAAAGCTCAAGGCACTAAGGAGACATTTGAAGAAACATAAGCATAGATGGGTTCTTTAAGGAACCACTTTTAAAATGGTTCTTTGTGTAGCATTTTTACAGATAGATTTAAAAAAAAAAAACCAATCTTTTCCAGCATTTGACTGCAAAAATATATTATTTTTGGAATATTTAAATCTGCTAAAAAATTAGCATTTTACAGATACAGTTGAAACCAGAAGTTCACAGACTGTATGAAAAATAAAACAAATTCTCTCATTATTCTGGCATTTAGCAAATAGAAATAATTTTGGTCATCCTAACTGATCTAAAACAAGAAAAGTTTAGTCACATTTAATGTCAGATGGTGAGAAAAAAAAGGTTATGTGTTTTTTTATAAAATGTATGTAAACTTCTGGTTTCAACTGTACTTATATTACAGATTTCCACAGTTTTAAATATACTTTTTGGCTCCCGTGCCGCCAGAATAACTTGTTTTTGTAATATATTATAATAAACTACAACCTATCAGACACTGGAATAAATGTTCCTTAAAGACAGAACTCACCTCATTCTTTGTCTTTTATCGTTTTAGTTGTTGCATTTTTAAAATGTTAAACAGAGCTGGTTTATCTCAACTCTGGATCACAAAAATTCTGACATTTTGTTATTTCTGGTTTATGAATTTTGCAGTTTACAGACAACTAAAATGACAGTTAATGTTACTTACAGTGGCTACAACACTGTATGAATGCGGTATGTTACTGGAGCGTATAGTGTCTACGACTGATCAAAAAGGGAAGTTTTAAGTCTAATCAGAAAAAGGAGCATGTCTTCCTGTTACAGCCAAACTGGGAGCTGGAAATATGAAGGTTGTCCCTCCCATTCTGCTTCTTTTAAACTCTAGGACAGGGGTGTCGAACTGCGGTCCTCGAGGGCCGCAATCCTGCATGTTTTAGATGTTTCCCTCTTCCAACACACCTGATTCAAATTATCAGCTCATCATCAAGCTCTGCAGAAGCCTGATAACGATCCTGATCATTTGAATCAGGTGTGTTGGAAGAAGGAAACATCTAAAACATGCAGGATTGCGGCCCTCGAGGACCGGATGTCGACACCCCTGCTCTAGGAACTCCATGTAACTGCACTCTGAGACCGACGTGCTCTGTTGTGAGTGTTCAGGTATTCAGACTGACTCCATGGTGCCGAGGTCAGGGCTCTGTGGAGGCCTCTGAACATAGTTTATGACTCAGACTTTGTGTTTGGGCTCATTGTCCTGCTGTCCTGTGAGAATTTAAGGCAGATCAGACGCCTCCCTGCTGGAGTGATGAATAGGAATCTAAACATCTAAAGAGCATTTCCACAGTGCTGGAGTCGAGCCGCGGTCGCTTGGTGGCAAATCTGTGTAATTTATGTGTCATAATATCGAACACTCTACAAATAGGTAATAAATAGCTCTGAGACAGGCTGGAGGTGATTCAGTACACAGAGGAGCAGCAGCACTGGTGGCTGGGATAAATCAGAACCATGGACAGCAACAACAGAGCATCAGAACTTGGACAGCAACAACAGAACATCAGAACCTGGACAGCAACAACAGA